GGGTCATTTGACCCCACATGAACCCTTGTGGGTCCGCCCCTGAAACAGACCCTAACTTTTTGTTCTTTGTAAATATTATCTACATAAAAATGGCACAAATATTATTCTTTCTCCACCTTATCCTAAGTGTGTTGTTCAAGTTTTATAAGGGAACAATATCAGATTATTTTGTGTCAACATGCAAGAAATATGCTGTAAAGGAGGGTGCATCCACCAAAACATAAATCTGTGGCTATTATTCTATGTATTCAGAATCATATAGAGGAAAAAACTTTAGTGTGTGTATATGCATTTACTTAGTGTATCTTTTTCTCAAATATTGATGTTTGAGAAATAATTGGAGAAAAATGTGTATACATTAAATAGATATGCAAGACACTAACTTTCAAAAAAAAACTAGGAATCTAAATGGTATTGATGCAACAAATGCACACATAATAACACTAATTAATTACTTGTACTTTAATTAAGCAAACCACTGATGTATTAATTCCACTAATTAACTCTGTAGTCACTAATGCGACCTAAATGTAAAACTAGGACTCCACTAATACAAAAAATAACAACTGATATATTAATGAATAAAATACAAAAATCCCACCAAATTCTCTCCCTAAAACTGAAAATCTACAAACATTCAGTTTAGGAGTCGTATCGCGTGCGAACACCAAGCAATTTCCGTAATTTCTGAAATGTAGTCAATTTCAAGGGCTCGGTGAGTATGTCAGCAACTTGATCTTCACTTGTGCAATAAATAGAAAATAAAATCAAATATTCCTTCCTTCTTGAGATCCTTTAAAAATTGATTTCTTTCATGTAAAACGATATATTTTTGAGAGTTTAATAGCTGAACGACTATCACAATAAAAATGAGCAGTTCTTAGTTGTTTGAAATGAAGCACTTCTAGGATAACCACGGGCGGACCAAGGAGGGTCTTGGGGGCACGTGCCCCCAACTTTTGAGATTTTTTTTTTTTTGGTTTTTGTTTTTGTTTTTAAAGTCATGTTTGAAATCTAAATTTTATTTTAAATCAAAGTTAACAATTAATTTTAATAACATATTTCATGAAATTCATAATTGTTAACTTTTATTAAAATTTACTAAAAATTTGATTTTAATCTCTACCAAATATGGGTAAAATCACAATAAATTTGAATTTCGATAACATGTTAATTTTAAAAATTCACAGACGATCGTACGCTAATCAAATCTACAAATTGTTTATGTCAACTCAAAGCTTATTTCGAAAATTTTTTATTTTTCATTTTTTCTGTTTTGAAATATTGAAACTAAGGGTCCGTTTGATTGCAATGGTGAAAAATTGGTGGAAAGAAAATGAATTATAGGGAATTGAATTGTCTAGAAATTATTTTACTGAGAATTGTAATTAATTGTGTTTGATTAATATAATTTCACCTGAAAAATGTTGAAAGTTTGGTGTCAGATTGATTTCCTTTTTTTATTAAAATTATTCATTAAAGTGATAATTTTTTCTACCATTGGGTCTAGAATTTGTTCCAATTGCCAAAAAAAATTACAATACCGAATATCATTCGTTTGACTTTGTTTTGCATGGAAATTGTAAATTTTTTTTTTTTTTTTACCATTGTGTATAGCATTTTTTCCAATTGCCAATTAAAAAAAAAAAAATGGAAAGCTGGTGGGAATTGGTTTTCCCATAAATCAAGGAAAGTGGCACGTGAGAGCCACAACCAAGAAAACAAATTGCCTAGCAAAAAAGTCTATCAAACGCTCAAAAAGTGAAAGTTGAAATTTCTTTTCCATTTTCCATGGAAAACAATGGTGAATCAAACATAGCCTTAAAAGTAAAATGGTGGCTACCAATTTCTACCTTCTTCTTAGTTATGTTTTATTCTAGTAATCTACACAATTCAGAACTTTAAAATTTTAATAGAAAATTGACCGTCAAAATATTTTGATAATTTTATTTTATTTTTCTATATAATTCTTGATTTATTGCCTAGCGTAGATAATTCTAAAGATTTTAAAAAGTAAACGGACTGATAAATGTCTGTGTAGTCACTAATCTTAAATAAAAAAACTGAATCCCTTTTTATTTAATTCTATCGAGTAGTTTCTAATCTACTTTATCCAACCCACCAAAAAATGCATATTCTTCATGAAAGTGGGATAATTTCTATCAGGAAAAATAGGCATAAATTTCTTGTTGGATCTTAATCTGTTTTCTTAAGTCACTTCGAAACAGTTGATTCCACATATTGGTAGATACGGTATTTTTAGAACTGGATAAAATTTAAGGTCTCTTCGTATTTCAATTTTTAATTTTGAGTTTTGAATTCATTTTGAATTTTGTGTTTTGAATGTCCATTTTGAAATGGTTGAAAACGCGTTCTTCTTGTCATTTTGAAAAATTATTTTCAAAAATAAAAAAAAATAAAGTTTTGACTTGATTTTAACTGAAAACAGCCAAAATGATATTTTTAGCATTTTGCGTTATCTTTGTAAATTTTGAACTCATTTTTAAAAATTTGTTTATAAAAATAGGTAAGTAAACGTGTTTTCAATGTTTTTGAGAACTGAAAATTGAAAA